TGAGCTTTTGGGGTCATATTCATGAAGTCTGTACCCAATCCTACTTCCTGGAGTGTTTCCCTATGTTTTCTTTAAGGAGCTTTATTGTTTTAGGATGTATATTTAATTTAACTCTTTAATCCATTTTGAGTTGATTTTGGTATATAGTGAGAGGTATTGGTCTAGTTTCATTCTCCTACATATGGATATCCAGTTTTCCCAGCACCATTTGCTAAAGAGGCAGTCTCTTCCCCAGTGTATAGGCTTGGTGCCTTTGTCAAAGATCAGATGGCTATAGGTGTGTGTGTGTTGATTTCTGGGTTCTCTATTCTATTCCATTGATCAGTGTGTCTGTTTTTATGCCAGTACCATGCTGTTTTGGTTATTCAAGGCAGCTTTTAAACAAACATACTGGAAAAAACAAAAGGGGTTTGACTTTTGGGAAAAAGGTCTAGGACCCCTGTTTTGTAATGGTGACATTTGTTTAAATTTAGCATTTTTGTTTTTTAAAGGCAGATATAATTTTTTTTATTATTATTATTATTTTTTTTTGCTGCTGGCCAGTACAGGGATCTGAACCCTTAACCTTGGTGTTGTAACAACACACTCTAACTAACTGAGCTAACTGGCTAGCCCAGGAAGATTTAGTTTTAACATTGAGTATCTAAAGAGTTTTTGAAGCTTAGTCTGATGGATTTTTAAGCTCTTCAGTGGGGGAGGAGAAAGAGCAGCCTCTGACATTCAGAAGCTGGCCTGGCACCCACAGTTAGGCCATGTTATTCAAGCAATCTCAAAGAAAACCAACTTCAGGCTAGGTTTCTCTGGGACTGTGATAAAATGAGACAATGTAATTTTGTCTGAATACAAAAACAAGGTCACTCTGCTATTTAGAAAATTCCAAAAGCCCTTTCTTTTGGCCAAAATGAAAAATGAATGATTGCTCCTTCTCTACCATTTATAGTTTTATCTTCATTCTAGTACCCCCCCACCCCTCATAGATAAGATTTATTGAGCTACCCAGTCATAGAGTTACCCCTGCTTACTGATGGCATTCTATTTGGAGTAAAGCTTTGGTTCTTTAGACCCTCCCTCAAATTACCCAACCAAAGACTAAATCCTATATAGGTTCTTTATAACATCCTCCTCTTACTGAGACACCCAGTTGTCCTCCATGGTGTGTGTTCTCCATCACTGCAACAAGTAATGAACCTACCTTGTTTAACTATAGGTCTGTTTCTGCTGAACTTTTGCTGGAGGGCATTGACAGTAATAATAATGATTTCAGTTAGAAATTGATTGGGGGTGTGTGTGTGTGGTGTGTGCGTAGCTCATTATCTGGCTTTTGAAAACAATTAAAGAAGAGTTCTAAAAATGCTTAGTTTAGGGCCAGCTGATTAGTTCAGTTGATTAGAGCACAGCCATATAACTCCAAGGTCATGGATTTGGATTCCAACACAGGGCAGCTGCCAAAAAAAAGCGTAGTCTAGTAATCATAGATGGTTCTTCCCAAGAAGGAGCTTTGAAAGACAAAATTGTTATTGTGTTGTTGTTGTTGTCGAAAAGGCAGCCTGTAGACACACTGCCTGTTCAGCCCTTAAAATTTTCATGGTACATTCCAATACCCTATGCTAAGGTGTAGTGAGATAGTTAAGACTACTTTACTAAATAGAAGTTATTGAAAAGATTTCCTGTTAAATGTGATTGGATGTTGACATAAATATTTCATTTGTGGAGATGTGTCTCAAGATTACAATATGGCAATTAGGTACTATAATTGATCACTTTAGGTTTGCTTCATTTGCAGCAGGCCGGTACAGGGATCAGAGGGGAATTTTCAATCTTCAGTCTTAGGTTTTTAGGACATAAAATTGACTTGAGCCGTGGGACTGTAAGGGTAGGTCAATATCCTTTGAATCACCAATTTTATGTTGTCCTTTGTTTGTCTTTTATTTCTTTTTCTTACCTTATTGTGCTGGCTGGAACCTCCAGTAACATGTTGAATGATGAGAGCAAGCATCCTAGCCTTAATCCCAAAGTTATGGGGAAAAACATTCAAACTTTCGCTATTATTAAGTATGAAGGTAACTATAGATTTTTCTTAGGTATTCTTTATAAGGTTGAGGACATTCCCTATGCCTAGTTTTGAGAGTTTTATCATGTATGGGTGCTGAATTTTATCCAATGCTTTTCCCGCATCTATTGAGATGATCGTATGGGTTTTTTTCTTTATTCTGTTAATGTGGTGAATTACATTGATTTTTTTTTTTCAAATGTTAAACCTATATTGTATTCCTGGGACAAACCCCAGTTAGTTATGACATATATTATTCTTATATGTTGAGGGATTCAATTTGTTAGTATTTATATGCATATCAACTGTGTTTTTTAGGAAACTTTAAACTAAAATATTCATACAGAGAAGTATTCATCATGAGAGTATAGCTTGATGAATTTTTGCAAGCTGAAAAAACCTGTGTAACCAATATCTTGCTTAAGAAATGGAACATTACCAGTAGCTGAAAGGCCCTACAAGTGGCCCTTCATTCACTACCTCCCTACCCAATAAAGATAGCCATTAACCTAATTTCTAACGGGATAGATTAGTTTGGCCTGTTTTAATGCTATATGAGGGTACTTCAAGAAGTTTGTGGAAATATTTGCTTTATCTTTTAATTCTGTTTATCCACAAAGTTTTTGAAGTACCTCGTATATAAATGGAATCATACAGTATGTATTCTTTGGCATTGCTTCTTTCTGTCAACATGTTTATGTTTGTGAGATTTATTCATGTTGCATTTTCATCAGCAAATCTATTTTCAAAGTTTCTGTACTTTTTAAAACTAAGGTTATTTCCTCATTTAATTCTAAAGGCTTTTTACTTTGCTTAAAATGCTTTATTTGGGAATAAGGGAACTGCTACTTGGTACTTGGGCTTTAAAACTGCCTTAGAGTTTTCTTCTGATCCTTGAGATAACTTTTGATTTACTTAACATGTCAGAAAGCACATTAAAAAAAAATACTTTATTTTTTAGAGCAGTTTTAGATTTACAGCAAAATAGAAAGCACTTTTGACATTCAATATCCGTGGAAAATTATGGCCTGTCCTTTCTGAGGTTGTAGCCAGATGGTGGATTTTTAAGGATAGTTGGTATGAAGTATGTATATAACAAGTATTTCATGAATACCTGAATAAGACAACATATTTAGTTGTCTTAGAAGATAACATTCTGTAATGTCCCAGAATTATATTTGGGATATGTTTTTTATTCATTGTCCTTTTAAGAGGGGGTGTTATTGCTGGAGATAACATGTTTTAGAAAATAAAACTTGTTAGGGGAAAAAATTCCAGAATTAAGTGGGTTAATCCTTCACACAATTTCAGCTGCTTTTGTCAAGCTTTATGTCTCTCTGCTTTAAAAGAGGGAGCTGGTATACCCATTTTGTTACATAATTCATCATTTGTTTTGTTAGTAAAATATTTGGAAAATGAAGGTGTGGAGTTTTGCTAGTAAATATAATTTGATTATTTGTGAAGATGTACAAAAATCAAATAGATTTGTAATTTTACTTGTGGGAGAGCTTGTTAACAGACACTTGCAAACAACTAAAGATTGGTGATTTTATTTAAACTAGTAGTTTTATTATAGTTTAGAGAATATGAAAAGATCTGTGTTTTTCAAGCCAAGGCATTTAATTCTGTTTTCTGTTTTTATATATTAATTTCATGCATGGCGGATTTAGTTGCTGTCATTAAACAAAGTATAACTTGTAGACTTTTAATAATTTATTTAAAAATTGTACATTTTGACATACAATTGATCATGTTTTTAAAGGACCCATTAGTGGTGGAACTTTCAAGCCCTGGACCACTGACCTCAGCCTTGTTCCTGTTTCTTCACAGCATGGAGGAGACTGAAAAAGGACCCCTATCTCCTAAAGTTCTTTTTAATCAGCTTTGTCAGAAGTGGGTGCATCTATGTTTTTAATATAAGTAATCATGAGTTACAAAATAGTAGTGTATCCATCACTTAACATGAGTAGTTTCACTCTTACTGTGATATTGGTGTTATTGCCCAGACTATCAACCAAAAGAACTAATATTTGTTTAATTGCAGTTCTGTGCTTTATGTAAATTATATCTCATAATCCTCTGAAGGAGTGATCATTTATCCCCATTTTATATATAAAGAAATGGAGACTCACAGAAATTAAGTAGCTCACCTAGTCTCAGAGTGACAAAGCTGGGAGTCAAGTAGAGATCTGTCCTCACTTAGAAGCCCATGATGTAATACCATAAAGTAAGAAAATCATAAAATTGTAAAATGTAGAAAGTACAATAAGAGATAATCTAATCTAGCTTTCTTATTCTTAAGGATGAGCTTTGAGGCAAATAGAGTTTAAGTGAATTTCTCAAGGTATTATAGTACATTTGAAAGCAAAATCCTTATGTACCATGAAGGACCTGATTTAACTTTAATGCATTCATTTATTTTTTAACTAAAATATTGAGAGCTTACTTTGTGTCAGTTACTTGCTAGAATTCAGAAGTACACAATGTATAATATATTAAAAACAGTCCCTGTCCTCATGGAGCTCAGAAGCTAGTCCAGTCCACAATTACTAAAACATGTAGAAAGGAAATTCTTTAAACATGAACTTGCATTTTTGTATATCTACAGACTTAAAAACCTCACTTTAATTTAAACTTGTTATCTGTGCCATGCTATTTTAAGTGTATTCCAAAATATAGCGGGTTTAGTATATATTTCATTTAGTTGGCAAATGCTTTTTCTTCAAAGCCTGAAGACCAAAAATACCTGTAACGGTCTCAGAGACATGAGTGCTTCATAGAGTTAAGTTTTGGGGCATTGTATGCTTTAGAAATTTGTTTCTGACTCTATAAATAACTTTGTTTCATATTATTTTCATCATGGTTTTGTAAAGATTTATAAAAATTGAAGATTAGGATAATAGGCACTCATAGATAAAAATTCAAACTCCTCTCTATCCTCACTCCTCAGGAGTAACTACTATTATCTGTTTCTTATTTATTCCTTTCGAAAATGATTATGTATACACAGACATATACAGTTGTCCCTTCATATCAGTGGGTTCTTCATCCGAGAATTCAACAAACTGCAAATAGAAAATATTCAGGAAAAAAATGGATGGTTGTGTCTGTACTAGATATTCACAGACATTTTTCTTGTTATCATTCCCTAGGCAATACAGTGTAACAACTATTTACATAGTAATTACATTATATTCGATATTACAAGTAATCTAGAGATGACTTGAAGTATACTGGAGGATGTGCATAGTTTATATGCAAATACTATGCCATTTTATATCAGGGACTTGAGTCTCCACGGATTTTGGTATCTGTAGGGGGATACCAGTCCCCTATGGATATTGAAGGATGACTGTATATGCAAGTTGTTTGCATATTCATTTTGTACAACTTTTCATATTAGTACATGTGTATATAACTTACTTGGTTGTGTGTGTGTGTGTGTGTATTACACTTGTGGAATTACATCTGTAGGATAAGTTCTTATAAGTAGAATAATGGGATTAAATGTGATTTTTGAAAACTTTTAAAATTGCATTTTATTTTGCTTTATTGTATTTACTTTTAAAAGAGATATAGATTAAGAAAAGTAATTTTTTTAAAAATTCAGCCAAAGATTTAAGTTATATATGTTTAGATTTATTTCTGAGCTCTATTTTGTTCCCCTGATCTACATGTCTATCTTTACCCCAAATACTGTACTGTCTTGATTACTATAGCTTCATAGCAAGTTCTGCATTTGGATAATGTGAGTCCTCAAACTTTGGTTTTCTTTTCTCAAACTATTTTATGTCCTTTGCTTTTTTATATGAGATTTAGAATCAGGTTGTCAGTTGGGGTTGTACTGAATGTGTACATCAATTTGGAGAGAATTGACATCTTAACAATATTGAATCTTCCAACACATGATGATTCTTTTCAGTTATATAGGTCTTTGATTTTTCTCAAGGTTTTGTAGTTTTCAGCATACAAATCCTGCACATATTTTGTTAGACTGTAAAGAATTTCATGTTTTTATGCTATTTATTGTAAATGTTGCTTTTATAAAAATTTGTTTCCATTTGTTCTTTGTTAGTATATAGAAATATGTACAATTGAATTTTGTAAATTGACCTTGTCTCTTACTACCTTGCCCAATTCACTAGTTCTAGTTACTTTATGTAGATTCTTTGGGATTTCCTATGTAGACAGTAATGTCATTGACAAATAAAGATTGTTTATTCCTTTACAATCTGTATCCTTTTATACCTTTTTCTTACCTTATGTCACTCACAAGGACCTCCAGAATAATGTTAGAGTGGCAAAGTGGGCATCCTTGCCTTATTCCTGATATTAGGGGGAGAGCATTTAGTCTTTTGCACATAAGTATGATAGTAACTGCCTATTTTTTGTAGGTGCCTTTTATGGGGCTGAAGAAATTCCCATTTATTGCTAACTTTTCTGACAGTTCTTATCAAGAATGGGTAATAAAATTTTTCAAATACTTTTTCTGCATCTATTGAAATCATTGGCTTTTTTGTTTGTTAGAATAGTGAGTTGTATTGATGGATGTTCTGAATAGCTTTACTGAGATATATTTGACATACAATGAAGTGCACATATTTAAAGTATACTGTTGGATAAGTTTGGCACCTATATACTTGTGACATGTGTACACATTGCCACAATGTAATGAATGTATCCATCACCTACAAAAGTTTCCTTGAGCCCCTCTGTAATCCTTTTCTCTGGACCCTATCCTCTAAACTCCATCTCTGGGCTACCACTTACCTGTTTTTTTTTTACTATAGATGAATTAGCATATTTTAAAATTCTATATAAATGGAATCATACAATATTTTTTAAAATCTGGCTTTTTCTTTTTTTATTGAAACATAACTGGTTATACATATTTGTGGGATGCAGAGTTGAATAAATAGTACCTGTGTACAATATGTGATGATCAAATGAGGATAATAGCATTCTCCTCTTTACAAAACTTAATCATTCTTTGTGACTCTTAACCAATTTCTCTCTAACCACCCCCCATTCTTAATAACCACAGTTCTGTTCTCTCATTTTGAAAGTTCAATGTATTATTGTGATTGTCGTTTCTTTCTTATTTATTTTTTAGCTCCCACTTATGAGTGAGGACATGTGGTATTTCTCTTTTTATGCCTGGCTTATTTCACTTAAAGTAATTTTCTCCAAGTTCATCCATGCTGCTACTAATGGCAGAATTTCACTCTTTTTTATGGCTGAGTAGTATTTCATTGTGTATGCATACCACATTTTCCTTATCCAGTCATCCATTGATGGACATTTAGGTTGGTTCCATATCTTGGTTCTTGTAAATAGAGCTGTGATAAACATGGGAGTTCAGATATCCCTTCAATATGATGCTTTGCATTCCTTTGGGTATATACTCAGTAGTAGGATTAATGAATCCTTTGGTAGTTGTATCTGTAGTTTGAGAAACCTCCATACTGTGGTCTAACCAACTGAGCTAACTGTCCAACCCTTGTTTCTAGTATTTTTAATTGGCTATCTTATCAATATCCACATGTTCTTATTTAACTTTTTCAACTTTTTCCTACTTTTCTTAATATCTAGGTTGTTTTTGGCAGTTATGCCTTTATTTTATGTCTTTGGATATTTTTGATATATTTATTCTAACATCTTTTGGAGTTCTATAAAATTTATTTGGAGTGAAATAAAAAACATTCTAATGGATTTTTTTAACATTAGATTTCTTTATGTGTTTTATTATATTGGTTTATATGCTCATTTGGAGTAGATTTTTGTTTGTTCATCCTCTCTCTGCTTTTTTACCCTCTCATTTTTACCCTCTCTGCTTTCCCTCATTTCTTCCATCCCTCCTTGCTACCTCTTCTACTCCCATCACCTCCCCTTTTTCCCATGCCTTTTTTCCACATACCCCCTTCTCTAGCTGCCTAATAATTTTGCGTTTAAGGTAGCCTCACCCTAGCCTTTCAGGCTGGCCGTGGAGATCCACATCTCTTGATGGTTCACAGTTATTGTGCTGCTATGGTTTGGGGGATGTGATATAACATAGTTTGTGGAAGGCTTGTCTCAGCTTCATGTTCCTAGGCTGTATCTGTGTTCTCTTATAGGGTAAAGCTCAGATAAGGTTAATCATCCTTAAACAATGATACCTGGCTCTCTGGTCCTCAGAGATAAGCTCTTTCATGCTCGATAAGTGTTTTTTTTTCTCTGCCTATTTTGTGTTTGCATTTCATTTTTGCCCTGTGTGATTTATTTTATATTGAATCCCACTTATGATTCTTTTTGTTTTCCTTTTTTACATTTTGTCAATATATTTGGAATTGGGAATTTTTGGATGATGAAATGACTCATTTACCATTACCCAGAAGACATCTCCACAAGTTCTTTTGTTTTAATTTTTTTTTTTTTGATGGTCTCCTGTTTAATGCTTCTGCATACAACTTCCTCTTATACCTTGATGTTTTTAAAAGTCCTCTCCTCTTTCTCATTAACACTTTTTTTCTTTTAACATTTATTTGTACATATTTGTGGGGTACAGTGTTCTTTCAATACATGCATATACTATACATTGATTCACTTAGGATAGATAGCATAGCTTCGTACCCATTAATCCACCACTTACCCTTCCCCGTTGGGCCCTCTCCTGGACTCTCAGAACACTGATTCTACTCTACTTCTGTGAGAACCATTTCTTTCTTTTTTCTTTTTTTAAAGATGACTGGTAAGGGGATCTCAACCCTTGGCTTGGTGTTGTCAACACCACGCTCAGCTAGTGAGCCAACTGGCCATCCCTATATAGGATCAGAACCCGTGGCCTTGGTGTTATCAGCACCGCACTCTCCCGAGTGAGCCACGGGCCGGCCTAGAACCATTTCTTTTTTTAAGCT